TTCTTGCTTTCGACACACGTTTTGACCCCGTGGGGGTAACGAAGTGCTGCCGAAATTTTCTGATTTTCTCTTACTTAGTCTTTTCAGCACACTTCAACCCAAAATGCTGCCAAAATTTTTGAAAAATCAGATAACCCTAAATCTGATTAGGTGTTAGCCTTTCTTGCTTTCGACACACGTTTTGACCCCGTGGGGGTAACGAAGTGCTGCCGAAATTTTCTGATTTTCTCTAACTTAGTCTTTTCGGCACACTTCAACCCCATGGGGAAAACAAAATGCTGCCAAAATTTTTGAAAAATCAGATAACCCATTTCTCCCCACCTCCTCACACACTTATTTACTTATTTATTTATTTTTTGAAATTTCTTTTTATTTATTTATTTGCGGCATCTCTAGCGTGCACATCTCGATCTCTCCTTTTCTCTTGGCACATTCTTGACCCCGTGGGGGGTAGGGAAATGCTGCCGAAAATTTCAAAAAAATAAATATTGTTTCTCTTCACATCTTTTTTATTTATTTTTTTAATAATCTTATTATTTATTATTTATTTATTTTCTTATTTATTTTTATTTCCTCTCGAAATATCACTGTTTATTCATTTTTCTCTCGTCCCCCCCCTCCCCCTTTGCTTGCTAGTTTATTTTCTTGATTAGGTCACCGGTACCCTACCCTAGCCTTAAACCTCGGTTAGGGTTTTCTTAGGGGTTTTGTAGGGCTTAGGGTTCCTCAAAACCCCCCTACTTCCCCGTCCTCTTCGGGCACCCTGGACCCGAACCACCCCTCCCCCTTTGACGGCGCCCGTGCTAGCCTTGCTAGCGCCGTTCACCGCTTTCTACCGCGGACTTCCCCCTACGCCCTCCGCTCACGCGGACCTCTTCTGGCCCCCTCCAGTCTGGTCCGTCATCTCCCCATGGCCGACGGTGTGTCACACGCCGTCGACACGGCGATGACCACGGCATCGGGCTCCACACCCGTGCGAGTGGACCAGGGCCATCAGCCCCAGGGGGATCTACACGACCTCCTCACCTCCCTCCTCGCGCCCATCCAGGCGCAACTCGCGACCCTCGGGCCCCTACAGGCGCAGGTGGCGACCCTTGCCGCCGGCGTGCAGCAACTCCAGGGCGCTGGTCGTCCTTCCTCTCCTCATCCTCTCTCTTCTCCTGRCTCTCAGTCCGGGTCCCCAGTTCTCCGACAGGGTGGCCACGGCGGAGTTTCCTCCTCTGCCGCCCCCCACCCGGCCATTTTGGTGACCGTCCACGCCCCTAGCTCGACGATCGCCACGAGTCAGGCCCTTCCTCAGTCTACGGGCGCACCGGCCCAAATTCCGGTTACGACGGCCACGGGACCACAACCCGTTACCATGGTCTCAGCGTTTCCGGGTGCCCCGCTCCTCCCCCCCCTTCGCACGACCGCAGCGCCACCTGGCTCTCCCCCTTCTGGGATGCCCCGCGCCGCTTGTGCATCCACTTCCTCCACTCTTCCCCCTGCTACCCCTCGCACGACCTACGTTCGAGGTCTCGAGGACGAGATTGCCCAGCTCCGGGTCAACCTCGCCCTCTTACGCCTTCAACCACCCCCACCCTCACAGGTGGCCGCGCCTTCGGGCGCACCCCCTACCTCCTCTACCCTTCCTCCCATGCAGGCTCACTTTCGACGCCCTACACCCTATACAACTCCTTCCTACCTTCTTCCTACTTCCGCGGTTGCTGCGACCTCTTCTACCGCAGCACCCTCGCAGCCTGCCGCTGTTGCCACCGCTGCTCCCTTATGCGGTCCGGGCGCACAGTCAGCTGCGCCCCTTTCTCTAGGACCTGCGCCGACTTACTCATCCGTGGCACAGGCCCCCGCTCCTTGATCCCCTCGCCGCCACTACGGTGGCGCACCACTCATCCGCTTGTCGGACATTCCCTTGTATGACGGTACAGGCATACGCGTGTCTCGGTGGCTGCAGTCGGCCACCCGCACACTCCAGCTCATGGGCGCCACACCCGAGACGTGGGTGGGTCACCTCTCAACGCGCCTGCGTGGCGGTCCTTTCGAGGCCTGGGAGGATTTCTATGCCTACTCCCTTCGTGAGGGTCGGACTCCGACCTTCATGGATTTCTAGGCGTTCCTCGAGGATCGCTTCGGAGCCTTATACGACGCGACTGACGCCTTCGAGCGTGTCGTCACTACACGCTCATCCGGCTCTGGTGGCGCTGCCGGCCTGGATCGCCACATCCAGGTCTTTCAAGACGCCCGCCTCGTTTGCGATGTGGCGTTCCTCCTCGAGGCTGCTCTTATCGATCGTTTCTTGGCCAGCCTTCCGCTCGAGTACCGCTCCGAGCTATGGCGGTACGAGTTCACGTCGGCCCCACAGACTTACGAGGCCGCCAGGAACCACCAGCGGATGCGAGCTTGTCTTCACCCCGCCTCCTCCTCCCAGCCCCAGCGCACGGGCTACGCCTCCTCCTCCTCTCACGGCACTTCCCAGCGCCGTTCCCCTTTCCGCGGTCGCCCCCGCCGTTCCACGCAGCAGGGCCGCCACTTCTYGCGCCGCTTCAGCGCGCTGGAGTATGGTGAGCAGGACGYTGTTGCCCCACTGTCATCTGAGGGCGACCACAGCGACGACCTCGATCTCTGCGAGGCCGTCCACTATCACTTGGAGGACTCTACCCTCCCTGCAGCTGAGCGCCTTCAGCTCGCGCTCTCTGCCCTCTCTCGGGCACGCAGCCGCCCCGGTCACGCTGGCGCATCGCCCCCCGAGGTCCCTCAGGAGGACCTCCCTCAGGGCTTCGTCCCTCCTCGTGGTGTCCTTTCCCCTGAGGAGCGCGCGGCTATTCTGGGCCGGCGTGGGTGTTTGCGCTGCCGCTTGGACGGTCATACCTCCTCGCGGTGCCCTTACACTACCGCCCTCGACCGCCACTACGCTGACCTTTCTCGTCAGCGTCGTGCTCAGTCCCCCCCCGACGCCTCACGTCCCCGCGGCGCCTCCTAGCCACAGTGCAGTGTACACCTGCGCCCTCCTCAGTAGTGGGCTTCCCGACATCTCCGTCACGGTTCGCCCCTCTCGCTACTGGAGTTGAGGTATCGCAGGAATCGACAGAGTGTACTCCGCCCTCTGTCGCAGTACCGTCTGCGCCTCCGCAGACCACCGGCTCCCCTCCTTCCCCGCCGCGACTACCGACGCGTCGAGCCATTCGTTCAGCCCATTGCAGCGAGCAGCTTGTTACTCGCAAGGACGCTGTATCCTCTCTGCTGGACTTGAGCATGCTCCAGGCTCGTCAGGAGCGACTCACCCTCCATGTCGCTGCACTGCGTCGCCTTCTCGCCATCCTCTCTGACCCTGATCGCACCCTCCCGATCATCCCCGTACGACTCGGGACCTCCACGAGGGTGTACTCAGTGTTGTGGGATTCCGGTTCTCAAGGCGACTTCATTCACCCACGCGTGGTGAAGGAAGCCCGCTTACCCACGACAGGGTCTCCGACTCCCATCTCCGTTACCCTAGGGGATGACAAGACCCAACGCTTCTTCGATTAGACGGTTACCGACCTCCCCTTCTTCCTCACTCTCGAGCCGACTGAGCGTTTTCCGGCGTCTCGTCGCCACCGCTCCTCTGCACATTTCGATGCGATGGAGACGGGGTACGACTTCATTCTCGGCACTCCGTGGTCTCGTCGGTTCTGCAGCATCGAGGCCGATAGGGTGACCAACACTCTCGTTCTCAAAATGAAGTGTGGACAGACGTATCGCGTACCTCTCATAGGTACCACGACGACACCACGCCCTGATCCTCCTCCCCCAGAGCCTTCAGTGCCCACACCATCTCCCTCTATCACTGTCACCTCACCTCGGCAGTTCGCTCACTTCATTCGACAGGATGACGTCACCTTCTTTATGGTGGACGTGACGAATCTCTTACACTATGATCCACCCTGTCCCGACGCCGAGCTCATCCCTCTGTGCCCAGATCCCCCCTCTATCTCCATGGCTCCCATCTCTACTTCCGTCCCTCCGCCGTCCGTGGAGTCCACCCCGCCGTCGCGCGCTGACGCTGACGTTGAGGAACTCGCACGATATATGGTTGACTTGGAGCCTGTAGTTCGTGACCTCATCCGAGAGTACCACGACGTTTTCCCATCGTCGTTCTCGTACGCCGGCATCCCACCGATGCGTGACGTCGAGCACTCCATTCAGCTCGTGCCTGACTATTGTGTTCACCACCATGCACCCTACAGACTCTCGATCCCCGAGGACACCGAACTCAAGCGTCAGCTTGAGGAGTTCCTGAGACTGGGTTTCATTAAACCCAGCAACTCCCCGTGGGGTGCACCCGTCCTCTTTGCTCGCAAAGCGGATGGAACTCTTCGTCTCTGCATCGACTACCGCGACCTTAACCGCTACACGGTTAAGAACATCTACCCCATGCCTTGTTCCGATGAGCTGTTCGACCGCCTAGCAGGCAACCGGTTCTTTACGAAGATTGATCTTCGTATCGGTTACCATCAGATCCGCGTTGCTGCAACCGACCAGCCGAAGACCGCGTTCCGCTCGCGATTCGGCCACTACGAGTTCACGGTGATGCCATTCGGCCTCACCAACGCACCTGCTATCTTCCAGAGGGCGATGAACGACATCTTCAGGGACATCCTGGAGCAGTACGTTCTCGTTTACCTCGACGATATCCTGGTCTATAGTCGTCCCCTTGAGGAGCACCTCAGACACCTTCGCGACGTCCTTGACCGCTTGCGCAGACATGACTTCTACGCCAAGCTTAGCAAGTGCCGCTTTGCCCAGCACAAAGTGGATTTCTTAGGACACTACGTGTCTGACCAGAGTCTCCACATGGACGACGCGAAGATCACTGCTATTGCGGAGTGGCCCGCTCCCACATCCGCCAAGCAGCTTCGCAGCTTCCTAGGCCTGACCAGCTACTATAGTAACTTCATCCTGGGATACGCTAGGTATTCCTACGTCCTTACCTCCTCCCTCCTCCGGAAGAACCCACCCTGGGCTTGGACACCCCTCCACGAGGACGCCTTCCGCGCCCTCAAGAACGCGGTGACATGCGCACTGGTTCTTCACCTACCCGATTTTGACCGCCCTTTTATCCTTACCACCGACGCGTCAGACTTCGTTGTAGGAGCAGTGCTTTCTCAGGCCTTCCCTTCATCTCCTGATTCCTCTCATCCTCGTATCCCTCGCTTCCCACCACCTACCCCTACCACTGGTTCCCGACTGACGCCTACTCGTCCAGCTACTGACGAACCTTCTATTGACTATTCTCCTACCATCACCGAGGACGGCACTGTCGAGTCTCGCTGAGGTGATTGTCCGATAACCTTCTACTCCCGTCAGCTCCTGCCCGCCGACATAAACTACACTACTTATGAACGTGAGGTTCTCGCAGTAGTTTATGCCGCTCGGCATTGGCGTCACTGCCTGCACGGGGCACCATTCACGGTGCGCACGGACAACTCTGTTGTCCAGGCTTTTCTGACAAAGCCGAAGCTCACTCCTCGACAGGCTCGCTGGTGGCGCGACCTATCCGAGTTTAGTTTCACCACTGAGCACATCAAGGGTGAGACTAACCGGGTCGCAGATGCCCTATCCCGGCGCCCTGACCACGACCAGGAGCACATCCAGCTCTCTTCCATCTCGGTCACCACTGTCCACCACTCAGTGATCGACGAGTTTCGCACTCAGTACCGCCACTGCCCCGACTATCGCGACATCCACGCGATCCTTCGGAGTGGCAAGACCATCCCGAACTACTCTCTCGGGGACAACGGTCTTGTGTCCTGGCACGGTTCACAGGGCACCAGAGAGCCCCGTATTTGCGTTCCCTCCACAGGACAGCTACGTGTCCGAGCAGTTGCAGAGTTCCATGACCAGACAGTTGCCGGTCATATGGGCTTCCACAAGACGTTGGCTCGTGTGAGCCGCCTGTACGTCTGGCCGAAGCGCAAGGACTTTGTGAAGGMCTACGTCGCAGAGTGTCCCACCTGTCAGGAGGTGAACAGTGCGAACCACCTACCTTATGGTTTGCTCCAGCCTCTTCCTATCCCTGAGGGTCGTTGGCAGTCCATCTCGATGGACTTTATCGGTCCTCTTCGACCTCCGACCCCCCGCGGTCATGATGCTATCCTGGTCGTCGGCGACCGCTTCACGAAGCGTGCACGCTTTGTTCCGTGCCGCTATGCCATCAGTGCACGTGAGGTCGCCTTTTTTTTTTTTTTTTTTTTGCACGCTTTGTTCCGTGCCGCTATGCCATCAGTGCACGTGAGGTC